TTTGAAAGAGGTTACTTCCTTCCCATTATATGTCTAAGATGCACAGTTTCAACGACAAGCGACAGAACGGTTTGCGAATCCTCTGCTGTCACTCATAAAACAGAACACAATTCGAATTTCCAACAGCAATGTTAAGTCGATCAGTCAGTCAGTTAGTTCTCCTATACGTGTCAGAAACTTGGTAGGCGTATCACGAAAAGCATTTCCAACAGTCTATAGCAAACTTTTATCAACAGCTGTCTGTATTCTCTGGCTCTGTATTGAAGATCAAATGGCTGGCCACAAAGAATCAGCAACAAGAAACTCTGGCTGGGAACAAACCAGTAGGCGAGAGCCGACCGCTCGACAAATATGTAGGAAAAATATTCATTCAGACATCTATGAAACACAAAATAATTGAGAAAAGAATATTCTTTTCGATAAATTCCTCTTCTGGCTCTACAATTATATACATGTTTATATACATAGAATATTCTAGATTAGTAGTTAATAACAATATTAGTATTTTTTTTAAATAATATCGATTTGTAAAGTAAGATCAATGGGATTACAGTTCACGAAAGATGCATAAATTATGATAATAATAAAGATTTTATTTTTTGGTAACAGCTTGATTCCACACCGTATTTTTTTGGTACAGGTATGGAATTTTCAGCATGTGATATCGGTAGCCCAAATTTTGCAGGCCGACCATAGATATCAGGTGTGCGTCGGCAGGGGATCGAACCCCGGACCATGTGTATGGTCAGCAAGAGTCCTAACTACTGTGCCACCGACGCACAAATGGAATATCAACTTAAATTAGGAAAATTCCACAAAAATTCAGGATCATTCAAACCTAGGTGGCCAAGGTAAGGATAATGTCTAAACTAACTTCTTTTGGATGCACAAATTAGGCTTCTTAATGTGGATCCCAACAGCCTCAGCAATATTTAGTAGTCAAACTGTTAAGGCAAAATTGAGATTCGTAGGTATGCGGTAAATGACCCTGAAAGCATGGTTAACGTCAATCTTGTGTTCTGTATCCACAAGGTGAGTGAGACAGAATAGCGCTGCGAATAGATTTTGTTTGTCCTTTGCTTAACCAGGCAGGGTTATGTTTGGAAATCTGACGAGAAACACGCCTAATTGTACGGCCTATGTAACTGGCTCACTCCACAGGAGCAGTTAAATTGGTGGATACACATGGAAGAGGCGAAATTAGGCAGTTTGTCTTTTATTCTCGAACGTAGAAGAGGAGTGGTTTTGAAGACACAGTGTAATTCTGCAGCAGGGAATGCTCTTTTTACAGCATTTCTGAGGCGATGCGTTAGTATTTCACTTGTGTTGTCTCCTAGGAACTGCATCTGTAAGAACAAGGCTTTCTTTGGAACTGTTGGTACCTTGGATTGTTTTGGTTTTAGATTCATATTCTTATCAATAAACTTTTCGGGATAACCATTCTCACCTAGCAACCGTTTAATATTGTTAAGCTCCTCGTCAAGACATTCATCCGAGCAAATCTCTCTTGCTCTGTGGACCAAGCACTTTATTAGATCGCGTTTGTATTTCAAGGGCACAAAGCTGAGAAAATGTGTGTACTGGCCCGTTGATGTAGGTTTTCTATAAACATTTCTTCTTATTGTGCCATCCTCTTTTCTGGTCATAAGGACGTCTAGAAATGAAATACTAGAGTCTTTTTCTTTCTCAATAGTAAAATTTATTGCAGGATGTACCTCATTAAATTTATCCAGGATGTCCTTTGCCTCATTTTCGTTCTTCATAATCAAGAAAGTATCATCCATGTATCGACAATAAAATAACATCTTAAAAAAACGCTAATATTGTTATTAACTACTCATTTAAAATATTCTGTGTATTAAAACATATATATAATTGTAGAGCCTGGAAGAGGAATTTATCGAAAAGGATATTCTTTGCTCGATTATTTTGTTTTTATAGATGTCTGAATGAACATTTTTTAATTGATTATGTTGGTTACTCAACATATTACAGAAGCTAACCTCATTCCCTACGACAAAATCATGGATATTTGAAGGTTCATTTTGTGTTTTTGCTAACTAGTATCATCACTGTCTCATCCATTATGATACAGTGCATGCTTAATAAGTAGCTTTGATAAGTGACCTCTGAAAGTAGGATATATAAAGGGATTAACCCTATGTATCTTCATATTATTTTTGTGTCAATAAGCGCAATAAGGTAAATAGTAGTTGGGCTTGAAGTCACTATTACACCTGGCTAAGATGTGCATTACACATTCCAAGTGTAGTCGTCTTCCCTGAAGAGTGATACCAGCTGATGTTCTTTCTATTAGATATGGATTAGATGTAAAGCTGTCTTTTTTACAAAAGTATGTGTGACAAGATAAACTACCGGAAACATGATAATTTCATGCGTGTGACGTGTAATTTATTTATCCAAGACGAAGGTGATGAAGATAACCAACAACAGCGGCAATATTTGACAACAGCCAGCACCAATCACCATCAACAGTGGGAGAGATTTGAAAGAGGTTACTTCCTTCCCATTATATGTCTAAGATGCACAGTTTCAACGACAAGCGACAGAACGGTTTGCGAATCCTCTGCTGTCACTCATAAAACAGAACACAATTCGAATTTCCAACAGCAATGTTAAGTCGATCAGTCAGTCAGTTAGTTCTCCTATACGTGTCAGAAACTTGGTAGGCGTATCACGAAAAGCATTTCCAACAGTCTATAGCAAACTTTTATCAACAGCTGTCTGTATTCTCTGGCTCTGTATTGAAGATCAAATGGCTGGCCACAAAGAATCAGCAACAAGAAACTCTGGCTGGGAACAAACCAGTAGGCGAGAGCCGACCGCTCGACAAATATGTAGGAAAAATATTCATTCAGACATCTATGAAACACAAAATAATTGAGAAAAGAATATTCTTTTCGATAAATTCCTCTTCTGGCTCTACAATTATATACATGTTTATATACATAGAATATTCTAGATTAGTAGTTAATAACAATATTAGTATTTTTTTTAAATAATATCGATTTGTAAAGTAAGATCAATGGGATTACAGTTCACGAAAGATGCATAAATTATGATAATAATAAAGATTTTATTTTTTGGTAACAGCTTGATTCCACACCGTATTTTTTTGGTACAGGTATGGAATTTTCAGCATGTGATATCGGTAGCCCAAATTTTGCAGGCCGACCATAGATATCAGGTGTGCGTCGGCAGGGGATCGAACCCCGGACCATGTGTATGGTCAGCAAGAGTCCTAACTACTGTGCCACCGACGCACAAATGGAATATCAACTTAAATTAGGAAAATTCCACAAAAATTCAGGATCATTCAAACCTAGGTGGCCAAGGTAAGGATAATGTCTAAACTAACTTCTTTTGGATGCACAAATTAGGCTTCTTAATGTGGATCCCAACAGCCTCAGCAATATTTAGTAGTCAAACTGTTAAGGCAAAATTGAGATTCGTAGGTATGCGGTAAATGACCCTGAAAGCATGGTTAACGTCAATCTTGTGTTCTGTATCCACAAGGTGAGTGAGACAGAATAGCGCTGCGAATAGATTTTGTTTGTCCTTTGCTTAACCAGGCAGGGTTATGTTTGGAAATCTGACGAGAAACACGCCTAATTGTACGGCCTATGTAACTGGCTCACTCCACAGGAGCAGTTAAATTGGTGGATACACATGGAAGAGGCGAAATTAGGCAGTTTGTCTTTTACTCTCGAACGTAGAAGAGGAGTGGTTTTGAAGACACAGTGTAATTCTGCAGCAGGGAATGCTCTTTTTACAGCATTTCTAAGGCGCTGTGTTAGTATCTCGCTGATGTTGTCCCCAAGGGACTGATATTGTGAGAATAAGGCCTTTTTAGTAACTGTTGATACCTTGGGATGCTTTGATTTTAGATTCATATTCCTATCAATAAACTTTTCTGGATACCCATTTTCACTTAGCAACCGTTTAATATTATTAAGTTCCTCGTCAAGACATTCATCCGAGCAGATTGCTCTTGCTCTGTGAACCAAGCACTATATCAGATTGTGTTTGTATTTCAAGGGCACGAAGCTGAGAAAATGTGTGTACTGGCCCGTTGATGTAGGTTTTCTATAAACATTTCTTCTTATTGTGCCATCCTCTTTTCTGGTCATAAGAGCGTCTAGAAATGAAATATTAGAGTCTTTTTCTTTCTCAATAGTAAAATTTATTGCAGGATGTACCTCCTTAAATTTATCCAGGATGTTCTTTGCTTGCCAGAAGAAGAATTTATCGAAAATGATATTCTTTGCTCAATCATTTTGTGTGTTATAGATATGTAGGAGTAAATGGAGATGGATCAAGTATACACCACTGAGGAGTCCGTCGAATGACATCTCGCGCGGTGCAAGCCGTCGCTCAACTGGAATCGGATTTCGAAACGACGAGGAGGAGATGAGAGATTCTTGGCGATAGTGGGGTCAGTGGGCTGAAGAGGACAGCAGAGAATAGAAGAAAGTGGAGATGTGTTGTTGAAGCCAGCCCTATATTCCACTCGTAACTTTAAAGGAACAACAATAATAATACTGCTTCAGTATGCTAATGGTTTTTAGTTTAGGTGAGTAGAGTAGAAAGTTGTGAATTCTCCAGTTAAGAATTTGTAGTTTCCGAGCGCTTCTTTACCGTATCTTTTCATCTCTTTTTGGTGATGTGACTGACTTTCCCAACTTCGGACATCAAATGTAGGTATTTCATTTCCCCATCTTGCTTGTTTTTGCTTTTGCCAGTTCATTCGGTCTCTCGTATTCTTCGCTGGGGTTTGATGTTTGGGTTGGTTTTTCGAGGTAGGGTCGCTAGCCCTATATCCAATCTTCCCTATGTTGTTCCTGACTTTTAGAGAGGGTTAATAAACTAGGCGTGGTTCTCATGTTATACTGTGTGTATATTTTCTATATTTTAGCTAGATGCATGTAATCATTTAGAATGTAAACTCTCTTTTATTATTATTATAAATAAACAACTAGGATAAATCCAGAAATGAGATAACAGCGTTTATCGTTGATCGATTATCCGATGGTATCGAATGTGGACCGTTGCTAGATACTTTTGGTGCACGAGGATCAAATGGTAGGTGTGTGTGATGCTTGTTTATTACTATTATTATTATTGTTATCATTATCCTTTTATAAGTTATTTTTGTTTTCCAAGTTTGACCATGGATTGTTGTCAGGTTAGAGAATCATTGAAAACCACTAGGGATTACTGGACAGCTGTTTCTACTGTCCTTGTTTAGGACTCATCAGTAGTATGCACCCATTGATATTAATGCTTGTTTATTATTATTATCCTTTTATGAGTAATTTTTGTTTTCCAATCTTGACCACGGATGAATATCAGTTAGAGAGTCATTGAAAACCACCAGGGATTACTGGACAGCCAGCTGTTTCTGCTGTTCCTTGTTTCGGACTCATCAACAGTACGCACTCATTGATATCGATCCGTGGTCAAACTTGAAAAACAAATCAAATCCCCACAAATAAACTCTTCAAAAATTAATCTGATGCTGGCTAGTGCCTTTCTGTAGGACAGAGATCCCTGGAGTTTTAGTGAGAATTCCGGACCAATGGGATCATCCTGTTTGGAGTGACGACAAATACTCACCACGGGATGACATTGGCTGGTCGTCACAATAAAAAAATTACGAATTGGTAGGAGTTAGAATTCATGAGTTGGCCATTGAGCTTGACTTCAAACCGGGAGGTGTTGGGTTCGAACCCTTATGGTGGGTGCGTACTGTTTAAAGCTCTCAAACTAGTACGAAACAGCTGTCTGGCAGTATTCCCTGTCGGTTTTCCAATGGTTCTCGAACCAATGATGTCAGCTCATAATGAAATCCTGAAACCAATCAAATCGCTGCAAAACCAAAACTTGAATTACACAGTTGTTAGTTGAAATATCCAAATGAATACCAGTATTTTGATTTGGATCGTTCAGAGGGAATTTTCCAAATAATATTTCCATTGACATCGTAGTTTGTATACTAAAGTAAGCTTTGAAGTTGTTGTTCCTAAAGGATTATGGAAGCTTCATAGTTCAACCATTCACCTCAGAGAAAATAAAACAACAGCAAAAGCAACCACCTGAACTATAAATCTTCATCGCTATTGTTTGCTATGTAGTTTAGTTAAATTAATTTTTTTGCGTTAAGTTGAACTTCGTTAGGTGTGAATTTCTTCCAAAAGAACGATAATCAGGACGATTATTAAAACCACATGTAGAGAGTGATGCGTCAAATCGGAAAACACAGGATTTGTCTCAAATACAGTACAATATTAAACATGAAATGTAATATTTTTGATTGTACACTAGTTGGCAACTAGTGTAATGTGTCTAGTCCTCTGTTTGGTGCAGACTAAACTGATAGACACGTGACTATTAGAATTCAGTTTCCACTGAACAGAGGACTAGACACATTACACTAGTTGCTCACTAGTCTCCAATAAAAGTGTCCAATACAGTACTACTGAAGGTCAATCACGAGCGCAGCTAGCTGCTCAGTGGTAACGTCTCTGACTGCAGGCGGCACTGGATGAAGCGGGTTTGGATCTCGGAAGGGTCACGAGTTCCTTCAAGGTCGCAGGTACGCTGCCTTGCTGACTGGTGAGTGCCAACTAGCACGAAACCTAGGTGGTGTCCAAGGCTTCCTGTGGCCAACTGCCTCCAACCATCGAATATGAAATATAATATACAAACTTCAATTGTGAGGTGTCTGCGGCTGAATGCTGTCAAAAAATCCCAATCAATGTGCGTCAATAAGTAAAAACAGTAGAGCTGTGTCAAGGATGATTCCACTTGATATTTAGACAGCGCGCGAATGGCCGACACAGAATAAAAGGAATACAGATGAGCAATGTTCAACAGTAAAGGGCACACGAATGGAGCAAATACAGCAAATAATGTTTGAGAATTAACAAATACTAATTACACTACTTACTAGGGATAAGTAGTATAAATTTTAAGACAAGAAAAAATGACAAGAGGGAAAGGAATTAACATTAGGCATAGGCAAATTTTTTAGGTATTCCTATAAGTGTATAGATTTTCTTTCCCCGATAATAAAAACTATATATCTCTCTCTTATTTATTGGATAAATAATTCGAATGCAGAAAACGTGTTATGTAGGTAGGTTTTTGAAGACGGTGATTACAATTCGATGTTATTCCTAGTGGATTAGTCATTATATCTCTTAGTGTTTCAGTCAACACCTAGGTTAGCTATTAACTGCTGGGTAGGATGCTCAGTCTTTAGTGAGATGGTGGTTGTGCTTTCGACAATCCACTTCTTCCGAATATAAACAAAGCAACAACTACAGATTTTGCAGAATAAAATGGTACCATATTTTATTTCGTCACCTTCTCTTCAGCTGCTTACAGGGCAAAAACATTATTAAATGTATCTACAATAACAATTTATCATACTTACACAGAGTTCATTTTAAACAGAAATCAATCGATCGATATACACATACACTAATAATATATACATATATGTATATATATGCAATCTTGAACACAATTCCGAGCATTAATAATCATACAAAATCAAAACTTTTTAGTATCTCGCATTAGGATGAAAAATATCCAGTTACCAGGGCAAAGAAAGACTGATAACTGCTTCTTTCTGAACACACAAATCAGGTTTCAGGCGCTTCATGGAAAAGGTTTCGGCAAACTTAAGGAGCATTGAACTCTTTTGCTTATTGATAATTTTGAATGACTTTTCCACGTCCACCTCATGACCCGTGTCAAGAAGATGCCTGGCGATGGCACTGCCTAAAGCATTTGTTCCCTTTAGACGTAAGCTTTTTGGTACATGTTCAGAAAATCGTAGATATGCTTTTCTTTCTGTTCTTCCAATGTAACTGCTCCCGCAGATACATGTAAATTTGTATATACAGTTGGAGTTAACAAGAGAAGGATATCTATCGATTTTTGATTGCACCAGAGAGCAAGTTGTTCGAAAGACGGGAACGAGCTTAGTTGCAGGATAGGCTATGGCTAGTGATGTACTCAGCCTTCTGTTGATCATCGCTGCAATGTTTTCGCCTTTATAATCAAGCTCAAAGTAGATTGGCTTTTTTCTTACTGTGATTAGTTTTTCATTTGCGACTGCAGATCTTCCATACTTATTGATAAACCTTTGAGGGTACCCATTGCTCTTCAAAGTCTTTTCAAGAAACTCAAATTCTTCCTCTAGTTTCTCTGTAGAGCATATTCTTCTCGCTCTATAGTACAAAGTCTTGACCAGTGCTCGTTTATAGCTATCAAGCGCCTAAAACCTGATTTGTGTGTTCAGAAAGAAGCAGTTATCAGTCTTTCTTTGCCCTGGTAACTGGATATTTTTCATCCTAATGCGAGATACTAAAAGGTTTTGATTTTGTATGATTATTAATGCTCGGAATTGTGTTCAAGATTGCATATATATACATATATGTATATATTATTAGTGTATGTGTATATCGATCGATTGATTTCTGTTTAAAATGAACTCTGTGTAAGTATGATAAATTGTTATTGTAGATACATTTAATAATGTTTTTGCCCTGTAAGCAGCTGAAGAGAAGGTGACGAAATAAAATATGGTACCATTTTATTCTGCAAAATCTGTAGTTGTTGCTTTGTTTAAATTCATTAAGGGGAACAAATGTATGAAATTTTCCGAATATCTTTTCACTGAACGGAAATCTTCAGAAGGAAATAAAAGACACGAATAATTCTATTACTAATAATTGCTATTATAATTACGTGTTCAAATAGTTAGATAAGATAACTAACTAATATCGAGAAGTGGCTGATTGTTGTAGGTTCTCGACTAACCGACGTCTGGCCACGAAGATCATATCACTTACTCTTACAGGATACATGTAGCTTATTGTTGAATTTATGGAATTTACTAGTGGTCGTTGAATGATTATTCCAATTCATTTGGATATAAGAAATTAAACAGGACTGCCAAACATCAGGGGCTCACTGGTTTGAAAGTTAATCATAAACATGAATTGGCAGAAGTTAGAATTCATGAGCCATTGGACCTATTCCCAGTGGCTTAATGGTCTACGAGCCAGCTTGCCTTGTAACCAGAAGGTCCTGTGTTCGAACCCAGGTGAGTGGGTGCGTACTGATGAAGAGTCCCAAACTAGGACGAAACAGCTGTCCAGCACTCCCAGCTGGTTTTCCAATAGTTCTCTAACCGATGATGTCAGCTCATGATGAATTCTTCCAACCAATAAAATAAAACAAAAGGTGGATGTCTTCTCGAGCGGTTAGTGTAAAATTAATTCATATACATGAACGAAATATTCCATATTGAGTCATAAGAAAAAGATGCGAACAGCGAAGAAAATTTTCTTTTCGACGATTCATTTTCATAAGCTTTTGTACAATCGTAATTATATTTAACAAAGAATTCATAAGACAACCAATCAGATATTGGTAAAATTTGTCCTCGAAAAACGTATTACATAATGTAAGGTGTAATCTAGAAGGGGTGACTACTTGGAAATTAAAAAAAGGGGGGAAGAAGTTGGGATGATGTAATAAGTGTGAGAAAATGACTAATCAGTATAATTGTGTAGAATGGACAAGAACTAGTGGAAAGACGATAAAGTGTTTCTATAAAATCCTTATGAAAATGCAGTGTCATTAATAAACAGTAGTAGAGTGATAATAAACTAAGGATGATGAGGATAATAGTAGATTTACATAATGAAATGAAGCAAAATTATAATGAGAACGTTACTCTGGCCACGGTAGGGTGAGTGAATGTATGTGGTGCTTTTGAATGCAGAGGCAGGGTTTCCGATCCCGAATAGCCAGGGATTCAACTATGTTACAGATGGCGTATTCGAGGTCCTTTCACATGATATTGAGGGACTCTGTGAAGCATTCATGCTGGGGTGCTTGATGTCTAGAATCGACAAGGTGTTCGAGGATGGAGCTGCTATTATTCTTCTTTTCTCCTCTCGCTAGCTAACCAATCTGGACAGTGTTCCAGAATACGTTTGAGGACTCCAATTACTCACCTCTTCTAGACTACACCTTACATCACGTAATATACAATTCACTTACGTTTAAATATTTCCACAGAAATATAGTATATATACATATTTCTGTGCAAAGTTTACGCTTCTCATTGATTTTTTTCATTCTGATAGTTGTTTTCATTGTTTTTTTAACAGATGTGATCAACTGAAAGTCTTTTTTGTATTTTAATTCATTACTTTATTTTTATTTCAGCAATTAACATCACTTTTAATAATGTGAAAATTCCTAAGAAAAATCTATTAGGTAACCATGGTGATGGATTCAAAGTAAGCAAAAGTTAACTTGTTTATTTTTCATTATTTTGGATAAATTAAATTGACTGCTTAAGCCGGCGAAGTTAAAGTATCATAGCCAAGGTGAAGGTCTTTCAAAATTTGACCTTCACGAAGCGATCAGACACAAGGAATGCTATGAAATATCATTCCAAATCAAGTCATTCCTGCCACTTTGAACTCGGAGACGATAGATACAATATTCTATGCTTTTAGATGGGTTTAAAGGCTTTTAAGATTAACGTTTAGGGTCTAGGGTTACGGTTACGTTTACTGTTAAATTTAGGGTTAGGAGTAAGTTGAAGAACAGTGTCGGAAATCTCGTGGATCTCAAAGTATTATGACCTGCAGTCATCTGGATGTTTAGGTATATCGCGCATGGTACGATTTCTCTATAGATCATCTGTATATTGACTGGGAGACATTCTTACAACACATAAGCTACAACTATATAGTGTAATATATTTCTTAGTGTATTTTTCAACGATTATGCGACTTTTTTGTATCTGAATTCTGATTGGTTGTTCAAGGTCAATGTGGTTTTGGGTATGATAGTTTATCACCAATTATTATTATTATTATTCACTCCTTGCATCCTGAATGAAACAAACGACCTCAGTGGCACACATCTTCATTCAACTCTGTTTGTCTGCTGTGATTTTCAGATGGCTGAATGTGACTGCCCACATTTCAGTTTCACACGATCTCCTAGTCGTCCTCGGATGCATAAATCAGGTTCCACTTGAGAAGGGTTTGGCGTTTTGATTTCATTTGATGATCCCTGCCAGAGTTCGTTGTTACTTCTCCTTTCTGGTGGTGTTCTCCCGTATCAAGGGAGATCTAGGAATTATTAAGCGATCATTGATATGGGAAGAGAACTTGGGTATTCTGGTGGAGTAGAATTCCGTTATGGAGAAAATTTTTATTTTGATAAAGTCTCACAGTGTAGTGTTGTACAGTAATATTTACTGATGACCGCATACTTCAAGCACAAATTATTGCCGCTCATAATCATATGAAGCCACTACTCACACAACTTTCTTGCTTCATTGATATACATGAGTGAAAATTGATGATTAGACATTTGAATAAAATCAATAAGATAAGATAAAGTACATTCGGAAATAATAATATGAGTGTTATCAATCAAATACAATCAGATGGGAAGTAACACGAGTGTTTTTATAGTCAAAATAAATAAATAAATAACTCGTTAGAATGTTATAATGTGAATTGAATTACATTTTAAGATTATCTATTATCCTCTGATTTGACTTGTGGTAATAATATCTTCCATATCTCTGGTATTTGCGGTGATGACTCACTTCGATTGCACATGTGTTGAGTGTAGGCTCGATGAACCAGGATTCAGTAATCAATCTCTATCTCCATCAACCTATATGAATTTTTAGAGTTTTAACTATGTCTCACCCCACTGTGTGTGACTGCATGCATACAGTGCCGAGTTGTTTTCTAAATTACTTATCTTCACGGGGTCAATCATTCTAACCTTAGCTAAATTCTTATATTCCGACAATCTGACTACCCCCTGATCTACTAGTTTGACCTATGTAGTTGAACTAACTAGCAGTCATTGCGAGGTATTTTGTAAATTATATTATTTTGTCTAATTGGGTCTTCAAAGATATGGTGGGGATATGTGGACGACACTTTCACAGTGTTAAAAATAGAATATATATCTAGTGTTTTGACACATTAAATCACTAGTGAAGGGAATAAAATTCACATTTGAATTGGAAAATGAACAAGGTAAATTAGCTATGATGTTAGATTGTAAAATAAAACGAATAGAAGACGGTAGAGTGCACACTGGCGTTTATAAAATGCCAACGCATTCTGCTAATACATATATATTTAGACTTTGATTCATCTCATCCATCGTTATCTGTCTGTGAGTGAAGACAGGCTCAGTTAAGTGTCTGTCTAACAAATCGAGCAGTAGCACTAAGCAGCACAAGAAAAGACTTAAATGATGAAATGAAACAGACAGAACAAGAAGAAGCGTTGGTATCAAATAACTAACTATCCTATAAAATTGATTAGGAAGATCAGAAAAGGTCAAAAGCAAAATAAAAATAATGGTGAAACTAATAATGATCACATTAACAGGAAAGAATATAAGCCATCTGCAGTTCTACCATATAGGGAGGGGACATTTGAGATTGTGCTTAAGCAGGATTCTTAATAAAGCAGGAATTAGGTTGGTGTCATTTAAACCTACAAACTCACTCATGCAGGACAAGCTCTGTAAGTTAAAGGACCCCGTCAGTTGATCCAATTAAACAAAATAATATAATTTATAAAATACCTCACGATGACTGTGAGTGAAGTCAAACTAGTAGATGGCGAGTAGTCAGATTATCAAAACATAAGAATTTAGTAAAGGTTTAAATGATTGACCCGACGAAGACAAGTAATTTAGAAAATAACTGTGCAATAGCACTGCATGCATTAACACAAAACCACACAATAGAGGTGGAGAGGGTTAAAATTCTAAGAAGTAATGTTGATAAGTGGAGAGAGAGGTTGATTACTGAATCTTTGTTCATCGAATAATCTAAACCCAACACGTGCAACAGAAATGACTCATCACTCATATCAGAAATATGGAAAATATTACTGCTGATCAAATCATGAGATGAGAAGTAATGGAATCATATAAACGAAGTTGGAAAGTTCTGTGAGTAACTTGAAGAGTAATGAATTGTGCTCGAAATGTGGTCATCAGTAGCAAATATTACTGTATACCAAACACTGTGAGACTTCATCAAAATAAAAAATTTCTGTATAATGAAATTATCAGTGAACACTAGGGCATCTAGTTTTTGACAGCGACTGACTTATAACTTTCTGTATCAAGGTAATTGCAGTTGGCTGGTATCTTGTTGAAGTACATTCAGTTCTCAATATGAACTGTGTTCTGGAAGATGTAATGACTGATTAAACTTCCATACTTTATCACTTTGAAATTAGTTGATTATCGTCAGTCGGCGCTTTTTTCTAATTAGCTCAACGTCGAGAAAAATAGATTCCTGATTCGAGACGTACTCCGCTGTCATTGACCAGGAATTTTTTTAAGAAATTCTATTGTTTGTAAATATCACTTTTTCAGAACTCAATATGCTACTGAAAAAATTTATGAGTAGTTTATCGATTTAGATATAAATAGGTTTTCATCATCTGCAAGAATATGGAATTTTGGATAGGTGGGTTTGATGAACGATGCTTGAGAAACAGCATGGTAAACATGACAAGGAAGAACAATACGGAGGGCAAAGCAGCACAATATCGAAGATAACTGCAAATTGTTATTCTAACAATTATTGTAGACGTATTTTGCCCATATCTGTGATTCTATTAGCATTATATAATTCCGTTAGCAATCCTCTTATCTTCTGCCGTTAAAAAATAGTATTATTATTATTATCATCATCAAAAATCTTTTCCCTATTCCTCTTTGTTATTTCTCTTTCAGTTAGCTCAAGATATATTAGTTGTACATCGTTTGAATACAATAGCTGCTGGTGTCGGTGTATTACGTTACCTGCTGTCTTATATAGCTGAGCATTGTTTACAACGTCATCAATTCGGTAGACCTATCGGTGATCATTCTAGAGTAGAAGAGAAATTATCTGATATTGTATTAAATCTTTATGCAATGGAATCAGGATTATACTATTTGACTGGTTTATTAGATGCTCAACCGTCACGTGACCTATCTTTGGAATTGGCTGCTTTAAAGGTGAGCTATTTTTTCTCGATTGGATGACTTTATATTTTTGAATTTGACCATGGATTGATATCAGTTAGAGAACGATTGGAAAACTAGCAGGGAGTACTGCTAGACAGCTGTTTCATTCTTAGTCTCTTGGGTCATCGGTAGCACATACCTACTGGGTTTCGAACCCAGGACCCTCCGCTTACGAGGCTAGCGAGCTCGTAGACCATCCAGCCACTGGGACCCGATTCAATGGCCAATTCATGAATTCTAACTTTTACCAATTCGTGATTTTTAGCGCCACAACCACCCAATGTCATCCGTGGCGAGTATTTGTCGTCGTTCCTTACCGAATGGACCGGACCCCACTGGTCATGACTTCTCGCTAGAACTCTAGGAAACTCTGTCCTGTAGGCAGTAACTAGCGAGCATTAGAATAATTTCCAAGAGTTGGTTTGTAGGGATTGGATTTTTTTTTCAAGTTTGAAGTTAGGAAAATGAGTGTAAATTGGTCGGTGAAGTTAAACTATCAGGTCCCAGAGATGCGAACGCTCCAATGACCTTGAACGCATGCTAGTCATTGGATAACGACAACTGTCATTATTATAGATAGCATTATTATTATTAATTATTATTATTTTATTATTATCATTATTATTAAGCTTAACGACAAGGACTCTGAGAAAGAGTACATTTCAGAGAAGAATCACCCTTTTGGATAAGAACTAGAGAAAGAGTACCCAAATGCTTATCTGACTTGCGAATATATCTCACTTCGTTTGTGTTTTATGTTTCTGTTTAAGCATTTTGACGAAAAGTCAATTTTCATGCAAGTAGGTTATCGAATCGAGAGTTTTTTTACACATTTTTCCAGATGTTAGTGTTACACTAACCGCAGTTGGTGGAACACGCTGAGTGTAGCTGATCCCTGAGTTTTCCTACTTACTCTCATCATAATTTTTCCCATGCCTCAGGTTCCGTGTGGAACACAGGACATCGGTAGTGTTGTTTTTACGAGGTGGGCTACTACTAGCTTCACATCCAACTTCCCATCTTTTCCAGGTTTGCAGTTGGCTAGGTGAGGTTAAGGAGTTCGTCGGCCTGGAATTGAACTCGGACATACCGCACTGCTGACATATATTATACCATTGAGTCCCTAACACATATGGTATCATCATTGTACTTGTATAATCTAGATAAATATTTACAACTATACCTCTTCGAAGATGTATTTTTGTCCATACTTTTGATCGTGTTTTTTTCTTATTTCCATAGATATTTAGTTCAGAGAAAGTCTACTCAGGTATTGACGCTTGCATGCAACTAGCTGGACGTTTTGCTCTGCTTAGAGATGTTCCATTTGAACGATTTCTACGAGATTCTAGAAATCATCTTGTCAGTATGGTAAGTCGTTGGCGTTCTTTATGATTTTTGTTATTGTTTTTGTTGTAGTAGGAGTTATCCATATAGCACTTTGAGTTCACTTTTTTAGTTCAGACTGTAGTGACATAGAACCATGGTTTTCATAATCCACGCTTGCTCTGAGAACGGTTATCCTGACGGTTTCTGTTGGCCTAAACGTGGTACATTATGAGCACCAAGGGATGCTCAGTGAAATCGCATAAATTGTCTGAGGGCTGGGGTACTACCCGGATGCCCAGATCAATGCAAATGGGATTGCTTTAAGTGGTCACTATCTGAGCCTTTGACTTCAAGTCGAACCCACAAAAGCGGTGGGTGGGACAACGTTACCATGGTTGTCGGTGACCAAAATAGGTTCATACACCATTCAATCTGTTCAGATTCTGGAGCCCATGTACAGCATGCCGGTTGTAAGCGCCAGACGTTAACACTCGCCCTTCCACTTATGTGAGGGATACCTCCATCTCATGAAGACAGTGAATAGGATTTACCTGGTAGAGGTTATGAACGCATGGCTACAAGAGAGCACTTCAAGAAGGAGAAGAAGAGTGAAATTTTCCCACTCTTGGCTGTACTAGGGGTCTTTTATGGGAGGCTTTCAAAGAAGACTATTGTTCATATCGATATTGAATTTAAATGTATCCAAGCTTCAGATATACTTAACATTCATCCTGCTTAGTCATTCAGTAAGAAGTTCTTCATAGCAAAACTCTAGTTGACCTTCACATCTGTGCAAAGTTCTACGTCAAAACCAGTCAGTCGGTCAATCATGCAGGCAATCAGTAACTAGTATGTCATTACCCTAATCCTTTGATTAACTACATTTTTCAGTGCTAATGTTTTTGACATGTCAGTTTGGTTTCATTAAGTTTTACTTACTTATTTGGTCTCCATAGTTTTGAATGAAGCATTACATTATTATTATTACTCATCTCTTATTCTATTATTATTATTATTATTGTTCCCTTGGGTTCCTAGTGGAACATAGGGCTTCAACTACACGTCTCCACTTGCTTCTGTCTTCTGCTATACTTTTCACCTGCGTCCATGTTAATCCATACTGTTTCAATTCCTCTTCACACGATCTCCTCCATGTCACCCTTGGACGTCCCACTCGCCGTTTCCCTTTCGGGAAATAATGATAACCACTCCCTCTGTGTTCGTAGTTGTCATCCTATTGACTGTTATATTATTATTATTGCATTGGGTTCCTAGTGGAACATAGGGCTTCAACAATATATCTCCTCTTCATCTGGCCCATGTAGCCGATAATCTCTCATCTCATCCTTGCACTATCTTCCCCATGTCAACCTCGGACGACCCACTCATCGTTTTATTTGGGTCGCACTCGAGCGATGGTCTGGCACCCGATGTCACTCGATGGTCTCCTCAGTGTGTGCTCTATCCATCTCCATTTTTTCCGACATATTTCTTGAACAAAAGGTTCTTGGTTGATTTGTTGCCAGAATTTGTAGCTACTAATTCTTTCTGGCCGTTCGGCCATTTGTTCTTCAACATAGAACCAACGAAGGGGCCTTCAGTAGCCTTCGGGAAATGCTGTTCGTGATGTGCCTGCCATTTTTCCAAGGCATATAGAAGAACTGACTGCCTGACAGATTTGACATTGGTGTTGAACAATCCGAATCTTGTTCTTTATTCTGGCTGAGTGAGAGCAGAATATTTCCAAACCAATTTCATATTGGTGAAGGTGTATCTTGCCTTTCCGATTGCGACTGGCTTCTACACCTTCATCCATTCTGTCGCCTGTAGTTGAAACCGCGCTTCCTAGCCAGATAAGTGAAGGAGGTAACCTCTGTTAAATCTCTCCCGTTGATGGTGATTGGTGCTGGTTGTTGTTGTTGTCGCTGTTGCTGCCAGTTGGTTACCTTCATCACCTACATCTTCTCTTGTTCACCTACAGTCTTGTCTTCATCGTCTACTCGCGTCTTCAGACAATTTGTTGGTTTTCACCTGTCTTCCTGCAATTCTTCAAGTCTGTGTGACACATCTGGTTGACTGGAGTCCACTTCTATTCCATCAGTTCAATCTTTCTATCATCAGATTATGTTACTTATTACATTCATTTAACTTATTTAATCATCATTATTATTTATTTATTTATTGTTCATTTATCTTCAGGAATCCAATGATATTTTACGTATTATGATTGCAGGCAGTAGTATTTCAAACATGGCAGAACATTATCAACAAACAGTCTCTAAGCTAAGTGTATATACACGTCATCCACTGACTGGTATAAAGGCTACATGGTTAGCAAAAGGACGTCGACGTGGATGGTTTGCTGATAAAGCTGGTTCAGGACCAAAAGTAACTGAAGGGAATGCTTCACGTAGCCTGAAAGATCATTTACATCCAACATTTGCTAAAATGGCCACTGAACTTGCTATATGTACGCAAAGATTTCAAACATTATGCGAAATGTCACTGATCACACACGGTCGAGTAAGTTTTAAGGCATTTTATTATTATTATTATTATTATTATTATTATTATTATTATTATTATATTATATTCCTTTGTATTCCTGTAACGACAGAAGACAAGAGTCAGGCAACAGATCGTTTATTGAGAAAATCAACAGATATTTATAGATTTTTATGTACATTATTATTAGCGTTATTGTTAGCAGAGAAACAGCGTCTTCTGATTGGTTGTTTTCCTCGCTGAAAGTTAATCTGTCATCTCTTTGTGACCATTTCTTTGAAGGTCATACCATATATCTGCTAATCGTATCCACCCACGCAAAGTCTGCTGTGATTGGTTGTTGAGTTAGTCTTTGTTCTTGTTTTTTTTCTCATGACCAAGATATGGGACGTAAACATTGACGTAAATTGCTGTCTACCAATTTTGGCTAGCAGACAGCTGTCACCATATTCCAAATGGAACATATGGCTTCAATGTTAGGCTTTGCATTTTCAGTGACACTGGTTTTATTTTGACGGGATGGAGTTGCTGCCGGCCTCATGCTTAACCTTCCCGCTTCACTGGTCTTATTGCTACCGGTTTAGCGAACTTTAGGTGTGCGTTGGTTGGGGATTGAACCCCAGACCACCTGCTTCGTTGGTAAGCATTCTCTTCTCCTGTAACTCCAGAGCACACTAAATTTTAACGTAACTTGCTTTTATCGTTAAGGTTATCTTTGGGAAGTCTGTGATTCTCTCTAGGATTTAAGAGAACTATATATTTATTTCATGATCCTAGTGTTTGGTGTAGACTAAATGACTCATCATAGAATTATGTAATTTCAAGTTGCTGTATTTTTAAAATCCAGATCACTATAATGAGAACAGAAATAAAATGTTACTACTACAATAAACAAACATGAATGTTACTCACAGAATAAATCATGACTACATCTTCAGAAGGTTGAACAGTTCTAAGCCCGATTTACGAACCACCTACATACGATTGAATTTTTGAATCTCGAGAAGTCTATGTCCAGTCAATACCTCCATGAGGCTGTAAAGCTACATCGACTGAGATGGTTAGGATATGTGTTAAGCATGCATGACTAGCCATCGCCGTCCTCGGTGACGGGCTATGTTAGCTGACATACGGGGTCAGGCTGGAAAAGAGCTAGCGGCGGTCAAATCAAAACATGGCTTCATCAGTCAATGAAATCCACAACAGTTAGTTTAAGCCAGTCACGTAGAAAGGTTTAGACTTCCTGGTGGGGGTCCTTGGGACGGTAAAAACTAGTGGCTGGAGACAATTGGTGATATGTCTGTCTCAAAATCGTTCTCAGTGGTGCAGATGCATCCACTCCTTGTGACTTATAATTTCCAATGAAAGTATATTGTCCTTGGATATTACTATTACCTTTATCTCATATCCCTGTTTACTGTCTCTATTATGCATTTCTCCTACTTTCTTCTCTTGCTTTGTGTGCCATAAGGATGGAGTGTGGCGACTTGAACTGCTGGACATTGGTGCAAAGTTTTATGTTGAAAACAGACAGACCTCCATGATTGAATCAAGTCAATACTCAAAGAATACATGAATTACTGTCAAATTTCTGGTCCTATCATCCTGAAATCTTTCCCAGTCCAATACTATTTTATTCAATTGAATTTTAGATTTTCCCGTCAATTGATTGGACTGAAGTGCTCGGTCTCAGGTTGACATGTCTGTTGGCTTCTTGTGCAGATGCTTCGACGATGTCCTGGCATGTAATTAGAATTTAATTGGTGGATGGTAACTAGCAGTGGAATCAAGGATGCGCAGTTCGTCCTGTTTGGGACTCGTCAATTGGATGTCCCAAATAGGACGAAATTCTCATCCTGGATTGCACTGCTAGTCACCATCCACCAACTTAAATTACAATACTATTTTAGTTAACATTCTTTTCTGAGCATGATAATTACTCAGCATGTGTAGAACACACTTATCTTAGCCAAGTGAATTCATGATTCACAACCGCCATTGATTAAGGCACCTTCCACATCTAAACTCTCCATCTTCTCTTATTATCACACACCACATTCTTTCAGCTAACATAAGCAGTTTAGTGAAAGTATCTACATGGAAAAGCGTGTAATATGTCAACTTTTGCTCTTGTTTTTACTACTATGTCCCATTGTTGTAAAGCGGGCACATTAGATTGCACAGATATGTACCTTAGTCCTGCATTTCACAGATGTCAGAAATGAAACAAGCACTGAAATGCATACAGTCTGCTAAGTGGCTAGCATAGTTTATATATATACATATCATTCTGTTTATATGCTTATCCTGCTTACATATGCCTTTCATAAAAAAAACTATTTTACAAACTGTCTGACTGGTTTCAATGTAGAACTTTGCACAGATGTGCACCAGTTCGAGTTGCAACACTCCAGTAGCATACAAAGCAAGAGAAGAGAGTAAAGACAGATTCAAAAGATAGAGAGATAATCAACAGAAGGGTGAGTGAGGGAAAAAGAATAATAATATGGAAGAACAAAAGTTTTATTTGTTACGAAAAATCATCTCCCCACTGTCATTGAAAACGACGATTTTCAGCCATATCACCAATTGACTACAGCCATTGGTATCTAGCATCCCGTGAACCCCAACCCCTACTTCGCTTAACCTATCTGTTGTGGATTTCATTGAGTGATGAGGCCATGTTTTGGTTTGACCACCACTAGATCTCTTCCAAGCTGATCCTATGTGAGTCACTTAACATCGCCTGTCATCGCGGAAGATGATCGATGGCTCAGTGGTATGCCTAACACACTCTAACCATCTCAATCGGTGTAACTTCACAACCACCTCGTCGGCTGATTTCTCCTCCTCACCAAGCACTCGACCACCGGTGCCTAACCTCAGTGTTGCTCACTCTATTATACTACTTAATACAGGAGATGGAACTCAGGCGCCCATGATCAAAAACAGCTAGCAGCTAGGCTTTTCATGTCTTCCACTTCCAATAGCCATGCCTCAGTCACAGCTATAGAGGAGGATGAGGTGGACTGATGAGCAGTAAATGTGCCTTTTTCTCGACAGCCAGCCGGATATCACGTCTACTAAGTCAGGGAGAGATGGCGTATGTTGGCATAGGCCAAAAGAGTCTTCTGTATGCCAGCGATCGATTAACTGGTTTTTGCTGATGCATCTACTCAAATAAGTGAAGTGGTCAAAGCACTCCACCAACCACTTCACCACCTCCCGATCTCTAATCTAGGAGTACACACAAAGCAAGAGAAAAGAGTAAAGAGAGATTCAAAACAGATATAATACATAGAAGCATGAGGCGAAAAAGGATAGTAATATAGAAGAACAATAGAATTTTGTTAGATATGATAAAGCGCTAAGATTGGATGCACCTATGCGAGTCATTTAAAGCGAAGATTTTGTGCCATATTACCGATTGTCTCAAGCCACTGGATTTTACCATAACGAGGACCCCAGTCAGTCAGCCACACAGTTTAACACCTCCCTACGTGACCGGTTGGTTTAAACTAACTGTTGTGGATATTCAGTTATTGATTTGTAGGGATCTGATTGATTGGTGGTTAAAGGGTTTCATCATGAGCTGACATCGATTAGAGAACTATTGGACCTTTCAATCTAATAATCTGATTTTATCTACTCTTTTTCATTGTCTATATAAAGGAGATTGCTGATGAACAGATTTGGTTGTGCCGGTTAGCAGATGCTTCAATTGACCTTCTGCTGACATCAATTTGTTTTGGTCGTGCTTCTAGATCAATAAGTATTGGTGTACCACGTAATGACTATGAGGTTAGTTAGTTGTGCTACTCCTTTTTTCCTTTTTTGTGTGAGAATTTCCCTTCCCTAGACTCTGCTTTTTAATTTTCTCTGATACTGATTCAAATGATAGTGTGTTTTAACTCAGTTATTCAGAACAGGCTTTTTCACGTACTAGGCTATGAGTCACACTTGTATAATGTTGGGAGGGGGGGTGAGTTGTCTAGGCTGAAGTAGGTGAAGGGTGAGATTCGGGCCTAGTTAAACTTTAAGCACCACTACTAACTACCAATGGAATGCGACCGCACCAATGCCCTTGAAACGCCCACTAAACAAGTTAGTGTAACCTGGCAAATAATGTTGTCACCATCAATAAAATATGCTCATCGAAGTGTTATGCTATTAAATGGGATATTTAACAAGTTTCAGCTTAGGTGTTTGGGCAAGATTAGGTTACGCTTTAAGCCAAGGACAAGTTAGGGTTAGGTTAACCTAATAAAAGCGATATTACAGTTGGTTCGAGTTAGATTACAGTTAGTTTAGCGATATTTTCATGTTACGGTTAAAAGACCTAAATAATTACATGCATAGAATGTGGTTAAATTACTCTGTTGATATAAGAATAGAACTTGTGCACTGTGGTAGAGTATAATTTCATTGTGAGTAAAATTTATTTTAATAAAGTCTCCCAGTGTTATACAGTAATATTTACTGATGACCACGTTTCTAGCACAATTTATTGCTGAGGAAATATTACTGTATTACACTACTAGCCTTTATCAAAATAAATTTTACCCACAATGGAATTATACTCTGTTGATACTCCAACCTAAATCTGAGAGCTATTTTTATCACATATGAGAGGAAGGTATCCTCTGTTACACTTTTCTACAGTTTTGATGCAATATTTAATAAATATATGAATTTCATACACAAAAATACCGCCTTTGCGTGATTGGTGTGTTCCAGCTCATTCGCTGATGGGTAGTTAGTGGTGCTTAAAGTTTAACTTTGCCGAGATTCGAACCTAGAGCCTATTGCATGTAAATTGAGTGTAAAAGCGAGTAAACCACACCTTCACAAAATATCTTCTGAGTGTTGTTTAATGTCTAAAGGATAGATGCTTTGCGTACACATTATGGTGGTGTAATGAGATTTTGATGTGAGCGTGTTATAGAGTGACGGAGTATAAACATGACTAATGAGATATAACGGACAATGACGGGACGACTGGTGTTGCTTAGTTGTTAAATGTTCCTGACCCGAAGAGAGAATTGAGAAGGCCCACACGTTGACGAAGGATACGTGTTTTATTCTATAAAAGGAAATTAACTGTCATACAAGAGTGTGAATGGCAAAGGAAGTAATGTCAATCAATTGTACAGTACAAGAGAATATGAAAATAGCTAACATGCATGAACCAATAAGACAGATAGGTAGTTTTTCTTACCACCAACTGGATTCTGATTGGCTGCAGTGTCACGTGACAAGGGTGATACATTGTTATTTAGTTAATGGACAGACTAGGTAGATTGTGAGTCATAATGGACTAACGATCACTAGACACAGCAAAATATATCAAACTACCAAACAAGGCAGATATCATGTGACTACATATCAGACCGTTTATACACTTGAAAGTTGCGCTGATGAATTTCTTACCTAGTTGAATCGCTAGCTTATTGTTCCAACCAATATTGGCAACAACACGATCCGATGCCACCTAAAACACAACTCAAGAAGACAAGCTGCAGATGTGGTAAGCTTTTACTGTCTCGTATCTATAGTAAAAATGATTGACACCGCTTGCGTGTATGTGTGCTTTGGATGACCCTGAGAGACACGAATTACATTGATAAATTATAACAGTCGACAGCCAATGAAATTCCAAGGCCATAAGCTGAGTGAGAGAAAATCAGGTCTGTAGATCAATAAGCAGGCTGAGAGAAAAATGTAACCAGACATGTGTGAACTGACGTCTTTCCATATGACAAATAACATACATAAACACACACTCATACAAAACTAATCTTTACAAATCAACTATAGGAAAATATACACAATACCAATTTGACATTAGTCATTACAAATATATGCGATGACTGCTTACATATTTCTATTGGTACAAATGTCCATGGACAAATGACTTTCAAATAAACTGACTTCAATTTATGTAGAAACTTTTGACTATACATTTTGATGATTAATAAAGATGCGAATAAATCTACTGAAGAAGCTGTGGCTTAAACAGTGAAACGTTCAGAAAACAGATCTTGTTTTGATTTCCTTAACACGGTTGGATTAATTTAAATAATTTATAATGAGTCAATCTGACTCGGCGCTCAAATTATTCCAGGATGTATTCATAACACCAACGGTCTGGAAACTTATAATACATAAGTAACTTCGAATTATAAGTCGCTTCAAATTGAAGTATGCACTGAAGATGTCACCTAGTAGGGTGATGAAAGCTTCGCAAATTAGCTATCCAGCTCAGAGAACACAACCACATCAAAATTATTAATCCTGTTAATATTCCGGCATCCATTCAATGAGTCGAATTTTAATTCAGATATATCAAAAGGTAAAATTACAAAAACACAAATAAATTAATAAACAACATATTTGAAGACATTAAATTTGCTACGAGAGAAGAAGAATTAGGTATCAAAATTCCATTTTTAGATGTCTTAATCAGGAAAACCAACACAGGAAATTTAGAAACACAAGTATATAGAAAATCAAAGCATACAGATCGAATACTCAACTATACTAGCAATAAACCAATTACTCAAACGAAACTGTGTGCAGAAATTGTTTAAAAGAATTCAAGCACACTGTAGCACTCCTGTTTTAAAGAGAATGGAGGAAAAATACCTGCTAAGCGTCTTCAAAAAGAAATGTTATCCACAAAATTTCATCAAAAAGTGTTTAAAATCGAATCACAACACCAACAAGGAACCATCATCAAGAAAGAACACAAGAAAATTCATCCTACCATACATAAAAAAATATCTCTGAAATAACAGCTAGAATACTGAAACCGTTTGATATAGATATAGCACACAAGCCAGCCAGCCAATACAGTCCCTTCATTCGATGTTATGCAAACCGAAAGATCCAACAGAAAAAGGAGATAAAATTAATTAATTACCACTTATATAAAAAATACTATATGTATTAGAGTAGAGCCAGAGATGAGGATCTAATTGAAAAGTAAATATTTCTTCGCTCAATCTTTCTGTTTTCCAAATGTCTAAAAGGGGATATTTTCTAAAATTAATACTATTTACAAAATAAATTGTATGAACTGCAACAAGCATTACATCGGCCAAAGTGGGCGTCCCCTTCGAATCAGAATCCAAGAACACAAATCAGCCGTGAAAAGACACGATATATATTCTTTAGTATCAATGCATATAGATAATTATGGACATCAGTTTGATTGGGATAATGTCGAAATCTTAGACAGATGAAACACCAAAAGTGCCAGGGAATTCCTAGAAGCCTGGTACTCAAATGAATATGCAATCAACAAACACGTTAATATAGACGAAATATACCAACTAATAAAAAGTAAATCATGTGAACAGAAAGTTTACAATTCAAGTTAATAGAAAACGGTCAATAGATATGTAAAGATGGTTATCGGGAGACGCAATTCTATCACTCATGAAAAATTTAAATCATTTCACTTTATGCTAAATATTGCGCTGAAGATGTTGTCCAGAAGGACGACGAAAGCTCCGCAACTAAACCAACTAGCTCAGAGAACACTACTAATTGCAAATAACTACATTATCAGTATATTCAATTGACTTATCTTCCTTTATATTTATTTATTTCTTATCCCTTTGTGTTTCAGAAAACGTTGGTGCACGCGTTTAGCCGACAAGCACTTGAACGTGTTAAACAAATTCTAGCCTATACAGATGAAATGGATCGTTACCAACATCGTATTGCTAGTGAATTATTGACACAACGTGCCTATCCTGTATCTCACCCCTTAACACGTGTATGGTAACAATGATGATGATGATAATGATAATGTGATTACTGTATTTCTCCTCAGAAGCATTGACTGTCAATCGATCAATCAATCAATCAATAAATTTGTGTATAAATAAAAAAGTATTCAAATTATTATTTAATTATTCTAGTTATGGTGTCACTTTGACGTAAGTAGTCGTACAATTGTGGAAGACAAGAGTCTTGATAAAGGAATGTTTATTTGTAATTTACGAGTTGATCACGGATTGATATCAGTTAGAGAACCATTGTAATTTGGTATCTCTATGTAGCGAATTGATGTGCACCTTATCTTCAAATCACTATTTGTGCACAGATCTTCCGTGTTGTGCCTGCTACTTCTGACCTTCCTTCATATTGTGTTTCTTTGTGGTTCCTTTTGCGTCTCCCATGTATCTCCGCAATGCTGAATTATTTACCTTCTCTGACTAACGTCAAATCTATCTCCCTGCTATTTGATGCTTTTCTGCGGATAGACATCTCTTTATATACTACTGGTAAATCTTATCAGTAGCACATGCCACAGACGTCTTTTATTTATCGAATCCCGCTCCATCTACTTTTGTCTGAGGAACTGGGTAGTCACTTAAGTCCTCGAAGTAACTGTTATCGTTATAAAACAACATGAGTGCTTATTTGCATCACTAGTTAAAAGACCTGTGATTGGTGATTATTTTAATTAGTGAAAAACGACACATTTCAACATGCAGTTCGCTCCTTCCTCCTCCTCCTGCTATACGCCTGTGACTGAGACATGGCCATTGAAAGTAGAAGACATGAAAAGGTTAGCTGTATTTGACCATATATGTCTGTGTTCTATCTCCCATGTTAGGTGGTGTAATAAATTGAGTGACAGTGAGGTTAGAGTTGCTTTTTGTGATGCGTCCGCCAAGTTTTGGACCCATATAGATGCTGGCTGCATAGATAAGTGAAGGAAGTGACCTCTGTTAAATCTCTGCTGTTGTTGTTGCGGTTGGTTGGTTATCTTCTTCGTCACCTCAATCTTCTCTATATCCACTTCAAATCATGTCTTTGTTGTTACTTCTTCTGCCAATCTGTGCGGTTTTCATCTGTGTAAGTCTTCGAGTTTGTATGATATTAGACATAAATCATCCACGCGCGAAATCCAGATCTTCTAGAGTCTTCTTATCAGCCGAACGTTTTCCTGTCTTCTCGCTCCTCACGTACAGTGTGCCGTATAATCTAGTCTACCACAGTTAAGAACATCATCGGTAATAATAGGCAGCCTTGTCTTTTTCTTGTATTTACTTCGAAGGCTTCTCTGAGTTTTCCGTTGTGGATCATCTGACACGTCACATCGTGATGTAGCTGTTGGAAAAGGTTGGTAAAGACTTGGGGCACTCCGTACTGTTGAACTAGTTTGAAAACTACTTCATGGTCAACGCTGTCGAAGGTCTTTTCAAAGTCATTGAAGTTGAGACAGTAACGGATTCAGTAAACAGAAGTTAGGCTATGTACTTTGTGTTCCTATCGGATCAGATGTGAGGGAATCGAGGTTTGGAATATGTTTAGAGAAGCCAGTGGATGCCCATCTTTCTATCCTTCCAATGGACTTTTCCTGGCGTGTGTACATATTGACAGGAAATTTCCTTAAAACAGTATTCATCGTGTGATTGGATAACTGTATTGGTCAGATCTCCAACCAATCAGAATATTTATTTTTCGTCGACCTAGCTGAATCGCCTACCAATCAGAAGAGTATATTTTCACTGCGCTGGGCCGATTTTAATGTGCTTAAAAAAATATAAATATGACGTACTTTTCCCAATAAAGTTGTATCTTAATAGTCACAGACCAGCCTTCGTCTTTTGATATTTACGTGGTCCAGTGGAGCGGAAGGTGGTACCACGGACGAATAGGCATATTAGCATATCAGTTGAATTGTTCATTGCGTTGATATTATTATACCCACACGCATCAGTCCGCTTAGTCATATCAACTGTTGACGCGATCATATCAATTGGCAACAGGAGCATAATGCATGTAAATGTGTAAACACAGTTGGAGGTAACTTCTAATGGGTACTTATCCACTTCCTAATGATAAAGAGCACGATTAGTGTTGTGAAGAAGAATATGACTGCCGGATAAGTTGTCATAATAACAACTCTTAGTGTTTTGTTCACATCTCTCCTTTGACGCTTAGCTAGGTAAATTTTTGCTTTTCTCCAACCACGACTACGCTAATTTCATTACAACAAATTTTCTTGTATAGTCTTATGAATTTCTTAGGGTATCCAATTCATACAGTTACTGTAGGCAAAGTTAAACTATCACGTCCCACTGGATGTGAACGCACGAATGACCTTGAGCCGGCCAATCATAAAATAGGTGATTTTTACACAAAAATGACGTTTACTTGCAAGAAAAATGCTTGCGAACAAATTAAACAGGGTATCTTTCCCTGACGTGACTTAAAAATACGTCCCAGTTATAATGAGGAGTATCAGTTTCTAAGTTAGACTAGTTTCTGTACGTGTATTCGCCGAGGGGACTAAAAATGAGCTGTTAATGTGAGTCGTTTCTCTTATCCTGTTGAGCGGTCTTCCCCGGAGGCCCTCGGTTGAAATACTATGGTTCCCAGTAACAGGAGTGACAGCTAATTGCTAGGAAAATGTGGATAATAAAACAAAAATAAATAATACCAACTCCAAACCTAACCTTAAGCCTAATCCAGACCCTAACGAGCTAGTAACACATTGTCCAAACAGTACTTAAAAACGTGATCTGGATGAAATTCGCTCCTTAGGTGGTGAATAGCGTTCATATTAGCGCTATCTTTAATGATGACAGGTGTCCTTAACCAACGACTAGCATGCTTTGGAGCGTTCACATTCCTTGGAGCCTATAGTTTAACTCCACCTTACTTTCAATATAATCCGACTCTTCATTTAATCCATCTTTAAAGCAGAATTTCTGTACTCTCCAACAACGATCTAATCAAAAATCCTGATTTATAATTTCATTGAACAGAAATTAGCACTGTAAACTTTCATCAGGAGAGTGCCTCCTATGCTCGATCCTGAAAATCGAATAAGAAGAAATGATAAGCGTCAAGGAACTCTCAGAGACAGAGAGAGAGGAAATCAGTCAACAGCCTATTGCCCAACATTATATGCAGTAGAAAACTGAGATGGATTACACCTATGCCGAGGAGACATTCAAATAACTTTATACACTAGGCTTTAGTGTGGAACCTGAATGGAAATTAACTAGTTGGCAGGTTACACGGGGAACACTATCTAAGAGGAAATTAAAGTTCCCGGGTAGTCGTGGAGGGGGCTGAAAGTAAGAGCGTAGCATCAGGTACTCTGGATGCAATGCGTGAATAGTGATGGTAATAATAAAAGGCTAGTGGTTTAGAGGCTTTTACTTCAGTGATTCAGGTTTTTATTCAACCTTCATTCACTACATATTGAATCAAAATCACTCTGATAATAATGCAATTCGTAGGATTTCCAAACATCACCCTGCATAGTGGTTGGTTAAGTAAAGGACAAACAAAATCTATTCACATAGCGCTAATGTATCTCATCTTGTGACAACAGAACACAAGATTGATGTCAACGAGTCATTTGCCGTATACCAACAAATCTTAATTTCACCTTAAGAGTTCGTTTACTAAATATTGCTGAGGCTGGCCGTTGGGATCCACATTAAGAAGCTTAATTTGTGCGTCCAAAAGAAAAAGATAGTTCAGACTCTATCCTTACCTTGGCCATCTAGGTTCGAATGATCCTCAGTTTGTTGTGAAAATTTCCTTAATTTTAGTTGATATTCTATTTGCTATTATATTATTATTATTTAAGCATCTCTAGCGAACTGCGGTAATTCCATTGTGATCTTACTTTACAAATCGATATTATTTAAAAAGCACACTAATATTGTTATTGACTGCTAATCTAGAAATATTCTATGTAAATAGGCATATATATAATTGTAGAGCGAGAAGAGGGAATTATCGAAAGGGCATTGTTTGCTCAATTATCTTGTTTTTTAATAGTGCGAAAGACCCTCATCGTCAGTTTTATTAAGCGACCTAGTGTAATGATTAGAAGCTTTCTCTATGTGCTACAAGCAATAAATTCACATATGTACTTATCAAATCGATTTATGTGAAAGAGAAAATGTAATGCCAAGCGATGAATTCAGTGAAGAAAACAAACATAGCCGATTAGTAAAGTGGGATAATGCGACAGGCAGACAGCGGGCCGGGCAGCGAGGAAACAGGTATAAAATGGACCAACACAAAAAACTTGCAGGATCTAGATTTCGCCGATGATATATATGTCTCATTCCCACAACCTGGAAGATTTCCAAGTGAAAAGCAACAAGTTCGCGATAGAAGAAGCATCAAAGAAAGGTTTTCACTTCAGGTGAACATAGAGAAAGCAGAGATAGGTGGTGTAGATTCCTGGCCAACAGCAACAACAGACAACAGTCAGCATAAATGGGAAAAATCTGAAAGAAACAGCCTCCTTTACCTACCGACCTACCTGGGAAGCATCGTTTCAACTACAGGCGGATGGAACTGATGAGGATATCGTCAAAGCGAGGATCTGGACAGCTTTCATAACTCTCAAGTCTGTGTGGAGATCAACAGTACTCAGCATGAAAAATAAGATTCTGATTTCCATCTCCAATGTGAAGTCAGTGCTACTTACTATACGGATCAGAGACTTCGCGCCACGCCCAGTCACGAAGGGCACTTCGAACAAACTACAGACCATCAACAGCTGCCTTCGCTCAATACTCATGATCAGATGGCCCGCCAGAAAACATCAGTAACACAGAGGGATCTCTGGGAACGAGCCAACCAACCCAGCAGGAACCAATTTTGCAGCGAATATGCAGGAAGAAATGGAGGTGGATTGATCATACTCTGAGAAAACCAACAGGAAGCGGCGAGTTAGTTGGTCGTCAGTGCAAGGGTGAGGTGACATGGAGGCGGTCATGTGAAGAGGAGATGAAATCATGTGGGCAGACGTAGAGACAGGTGAAAATGTTGACAGAGAACCGAACGCAATGGAGATGTTTGGCTGAAGTCCTATGTTCCTCAAGGAACTAAAGGAAACAATAATAATAATAAAATGGGTTTCGATG